TGGCAGAGGAGAAGGTCAGCATCACAGACCTGAAGGCCCAGGTGGTCTCCAGCCTCTCGCTGTCCCTCCACCCCAGCCCTGGCAATAGCCACACCATCATTGCCCGGACGTCTGTGCAGCAGACCCTCAGCTTCTTCAAGCAGGTGAGGTCAGGAGGGTGTATTCAAGCTTGAGGGGACTGCTGGGGAACCTGGGGTGGGGTGAGGGCTCTATCTGCAAATCCTCCTCCTAAAGCCTGCCCAGAGTCATCCCAGGCCCCCACAACTCTCGCTGTCCCCCAGGCACCCTGGTGACCCCAAAGCACCCCAGAAACCTTCACACAGACATATGAACCAACCTTGCCCAGCCTGCGGACAGGACACAACCACAGGGACAAAGGGATCTGGAAGAAATCCTATACAGTTCCCAGCCCAGCTCTGGTAGCCACATCTGGCGCTTCTGGGGCTGGGATTTGGTGTGAGCCTGGGCAAGCATGGGGAACATTGAGGGAAGAACAGGCAAAAGGGAAAAACTAGGTGGTGGTTGGAAGGAACAAGATGGATGATAGAGGGATAAAGGGTGGATTGGATGGAGAGAAGGATGCAAAGGAGGAGGGATGGATGGAAGGATGGACATAACGGGTGCAAGTGGGACTTGCTTTGTGCTGGCAACTGGTGCCTGTGTTGGTCCTGCAGGAAGCACTCCTCAGCCTGTGGATTTCCTACAGCGACGGCACCACGGCCCCGCTCTCCCTGTACAACCCCAAGGACTACAACCTGGTGGTGAGCAGCCTGGACGAGAAGGTGGTCTCGGTGACCCAGGACCGGGCATTCCCCTTGGTGGTGGCAGAGAGCGAGGGTGCGGGGGAGCTTCTGCGGGCTGAGCTGGTCATCTGTGAGAGCTGCCAGAAGACCAAACGCAAGAGCGTGCTCTTCACAGCCTTGGCCAGCGTGCGGGTCCACTTTGGGTCTGAGGAGGACCCAACTTATGACTACGACCACATGCCCAGCAAGCCGGGGCTGGCGGAGACAGGGGCGAGCACCACCCTGCGGGCAGAGGTGGAGAAGAAAGCGGAGCCGAGCGAGGACAGTAAGATGTCCAGCGCGTCTCACCCCACTGAGGACTTCCCCACCATTCCCACTGGCTTCGTCCAGGTGACTAGGGGGCTGACAGACCTGGAGATAGGCATGTACGCTCTCCTGGGTGTCTTCTGCCTGGCCATCTTGGTCTTCCTCATCAACTGCATTGTCTTTGTGCTGAAATACCGGCACAAACGCATCCCACCCGAAGGCCAGACCAACATGGACCATTCCCACCACTGGGTCTTCTTGGGCAATGGGCAACCCTTGCGGGCTCACAATGACCTCTCCCCCCAGCCCGAGAGCCCCGGGAACCCCCTGGAAAATGTCCAGACCTGCTGCCATGGGGACCACCACAGCAGTGGGAGCTCACAGACCAGTGTGCAGAGCCAGGTCCATGGTCGTGGGGATGGTTCCTCAGGGGGCTCCACGCGGGACCAGAACGAGGACCCGCTCAACTCACCCACCTCCAAACGGAAGCGGGTGAAGTTCACTACCTTTGCCACGCTGCCCTCTGATGAGCTGGCCTACAACTCTATCCCCATCGCTGATGAGGAGGACTTGGAGTGGGTCTGCCAGGACATGGGGCTGCAAGACCCTGAAGAGCTTCACAACTACATCCGCAGAATCAAAGAGATCGCTTAACGCAGGGGCAGAGGGCATGGGGCGGGAGGGAGCGGGCTGCCACACCATGCCACGCCGTGCCACACCATGCCACGCCATGCTGGTTGCTTCCCGGGGGCTGGAGACCCAAATTTGGCTCTCTTGCACATTCCCTCTTTTGCACATCTCACATCCTCACCCCGTTGGAAGGCACCTCGGGGGCCTTTTTATTTTCTTGCCCTTTGCCATCTGGTTTTCCCAGGGGAGGCATCAGCACACTCGTCGTCCCCTATACCTCTGGCCCATGGCAAGGGGGCAGCAAGGGAGGCGAGCTGTGGGGCGGAGATGGATGGGGTCAAAACCTTGGGGGGGGGTTGTGCGTGCCCCATGGCGATCAGGGCAGGATGATGCTGTGGGTCCTGCTGTGCAGGGGGTGGAAGAGGGGAGATGTCCTGTTCCCCCAGGAGCCCAGCAGGGAGGTGGCAGGGGGGGCTTCCTGAAGGCAACTCCCCTGCCTTTGCTGCACTCGGTTGCACAATTTTGGAGGTGAGTGCTGGTTCAGGGATTTGCCACTCCACAGGTGTTGGGGGGGTGTCCCCTAACTGTAGCCCATTGCCCCACACTGTGGGTGATGCTGGGTGAGGCAGGAGGGGAGGGTGGCTGCCAGGGGGCTGGAGCCTCATGACCATGGGTCCACAACACCGATGTCCCCATCGCCTACTGCATCCCAGCCCTAAATGCCAGGCTTGCTCCGCTCCCTTTGGCGTGGGCCACGTGAGACAGTGACAGTAATGTCTGCCACATGAGCATCCCTTGTGGCTGCCTCTGCCCCCACTTTGCTGCCTGGGAAGGGCTGTAGTGCCCAGGGAGGGGGCAGCAAGCTTGCTGCCTGTAAGCTTGCCTGCCCTTGCCTCTTTGTTCTCAGCTGTGGGCTCCTCCACCCAACAGCCCTGCTGGGACCTCCAGGGCCAACCCCTGGTTTCTGTCCCCCCAGTGCTAGGATGTGGCTGTGAGATTGGGAGATGGTGCTGGAAGGTGGTTCCAACCCACTGCCCCAGAGGGCCAAGCCTGGGTGGGGACACCCATAACCAGGCCTGGCAAGTTTCCCCACTGCCGGCCCAGGAGGGATGCCCAGAGCCAGGCTTAGCCTCCGTGGTGCCTTCTGACTGCTATAACCTGATGCCTCCCCGATCACCCCACACTGGTGGCAGCCCCCAGCCTCTCCGGCTCACCCGAGAGGCTCCAGCCCAGCGCAGAGCATCTTCAGCCGGGTTAACCCTGAAGGAACACTCAGGTACCGGCCACTGGGCTGGGGGCCCCAGGCTGTGCAGTTGTACCTGTGGGCACCAAGCACGTGGGGGGACGGGGACCCCCCACAGCACCACCCGGTGGAGGGGGGAGGTGGAGGCTGGCAGCGGATTATTTCTGGATTTGGAGAGGCTCCAGCCCAGCGCAGAGCATCTTCAGCCGGGTTAACCCTGAAGGAACACTCAGGTACCGGCCACTGGGCTGGGGGCCCCAGGCTGTGCAGTTGTACCTGTGGGCACCAAGCACGTGGGGGGACGGGGACCCCCCACAGCACCACCCGGTGGAGGGGGGAGGTGGAGGCTGGCAGCGGATTATTTCTGGATTTGAAGTTACCCACCACTGTGTCTCTTTTTTTTTTTTTTTTTTTTTTTTTTTTTTTAAAAAACCTTTTTTTTTTTTTTTTTTTTTTCTTAAATAAAAGACCAGAAAAGAAAAAAACAATGAAACAAAAACCCAAAACCAAAAGGCATTGCAGCACTGTGATGGGCCGTAGCTCTGCTGCAGTGCCCAGGGTGGGTGTTCCCAGAGGTTTGGGGGTCAGCCCTGGTGGGCATGGAGTCTGCTGGGGGGGACGGACACGACACACATACTGCCAGGGTTCTGGGGGCATGGTTCAGTTTTGACCCCCCACATAAGCTCTGAGCACTTTGGGGTCAAAGTGGGATTTGGGGCTCCCCCCTCCAAAATCCTCCCCTCTTGGGCAGCCTGATCAAAGGCTGGTGGTCAGGGACCAGGCAATGCTGCGGCGCCATCCTTGCTGGCCCCCGTGCCTCAGTTTCCCTGGCAGGCAAGCAGCAACCCATGGTGGTGTGCGGTGTTTTGAAAGCCTCTTCAAAGAGTTTATAAATTTTGAGCTATGAAAGTCTCCGCTGAGTGGCCTTAAAGCTTACCTGATCGCTCTGTGCTGATTTTATGTATACACATACACACACACACACACATATATATATATATGGGGGAATTGAGATGTGCTCAAAGGCCAGGTGGATGATGCAGTTAGTTAGGTTTTACTGTGCCCCGTTATCTAAAGGACCCAGGTCTGGCTGAACAAGACGCTGAGCTGATAGCGGCTCCAAGCAGTGAAATTAATACAGATGACTTCCCTGCTTGGAACTGCCAAACCTCCTTGTTAAATTAACATATATGAATATTTGTTAAAAAAAAAAAAAAAAAAAAAAAAAAAAGGAAGAAAAGGAGCAGGGGAAAGGTAAGAAAAGTGTATAATAAAATTTTATAATTGTAATAAGACACAGCAGTGCCCAACTCCTGGTCCATGAGTGCATCCCAGGGGCTGCAAAGGTAGAAGGCGGTGGAGGGGACAGAGACCCACAGGGGTCAGGGACGAGGTATCTTAGCTGGGCTTGGCATGGGGGTGTCCCCACGGCTGAGCCTCTGCCAGGTTTTGCCCTGCTTCTTCCATCTACTTCCCACCAGCCCCTCGAGCAGTGCTGGCTGCTCGCCCACCGCCTCCTCCCAGCGCTTGGCGGCTGTAGCCAGGCCCAAGCTCTGACACTGAGCATCAGCCACAGTTTTCCAGCCCATCACTTCCCATTTCAGCTGACGGATCCAGAGCCCTTGGGAAGGCAGCGCCCATGGACCAGGGGAGCCAAAGCCATTCGCAGGGGCTGATGATGCTCTCATGCCCTTGCACCCCTCAGCTCGTGTGTTACCAGGGCTCTCGCCACCCAGGCACCTCCAGCCAGGCACTTCCCTGCAGCTGGTGGGGATGGTGTGGTGCTGGGCGAGGGGCAGTGGGGAGGGCAAGAGACCTGCTCAGGGTGGCTTCACTTTTGAATGAAGAGAGCAAAAACTTCTACATAGCTGTATAGCTGTCTATTTATTGATATATAAATATGTATATGTTTATAGTTTATACATATGTATAGATTTATACTTTATACACACATATATGCATATATAATATGTCTGTGCATATATATATTTATATA